AACTGACCCAAAGTCTAACAATCCTACGCTATTTGGCCCGAAAGCACGGACTGGCGGCCAGGGATGAGCCCCGACAGGCGCGGCAAGAGTTGGTGGAGCAACAGGTGCTGGATGTGAGACAAGGGTTTGTTTCAAACATACTCATGAATAAGGACTACGAGACCAAAAGGGCCGACTACTTGGCCGCCACTCTTGAGCCGCAGTTGGATCTGTTGGTGAAGTTTTTGGGAGACAAACAGTGGCTAATCGGCGGACAGTTGTCTTACGTAGACTTTCTGGCGTATGATGTGTTGGATTGGTTGAAACGATTCACTCCCGACACTATTGGCAAATACCCGACTATTGGCCAGTATTTGGACAGATTTGAAGCCCTGCCGGCCATTACGGCCTACCAAAAATCGCCGCAACACAAAGCGTGGCCCATATTTGGCCCCCGAGCTAGTTGGGGTGCTGTGCAAATGTAATGTGCAACTACTGTAATGTAATAATGTATTATTAAATACACCGTTGTATTTTTAAAAGTTTATTTTTAATATCAATATATTTTTAAAAATCAAGTTTAAATTTTATGAAATATAAAATCAGTAAATAACAATAATAATTATCTATCTAGATATTATTGTTTTTGTTTCAGCTCACATCTTTTAATAATAACAATTAATAATTAACAATATTTTTTATTGAGTTAATTGATTGTTATTTATTTTTGCAATGTATAGTGCTTTAATAAAAATACTCTTTTTAATAAATCTCAAATCCGATGTTAAGTTATTTTGACCATCATAAAGTTTTAATTTTTATAAATAATTTAAAAATAGCACAATTACACAATGTAATATATTATGTTTATGTTTAATTTTTAATATAATTATTAATAGACTACTTTTTCTAAAATTGCATGTATGTTATAATTATAATTATGTATGCCATAGATAGACACATTTTCAATAAATGTCACACCTTAGTTAACTTAGCGTTAATGTTATTTTTGTGTTTTATTACATTTTACATGTAATAACACATATTGTACCAATTTTGTTACTAAATTATTTATATGATATATTTCGCGTGGAATCAATAAAAATTTACTTTTACTTAAATTATACCTTTTATTATTAGATAATATAAAAATGATTAAAGCAAACAAATAAATTATTTTATATTATTTGAAACCTATTAATTCACATTTGTTTATAATAATTATACAATAAAATTAAAAATAAATACATTTATCAATTTTACAATCTACTTATTAATGATGTTGTTAATTAATAATCAATTCTACATTTAACAATTAACAATCAAAAATTTGCATCTATTTTA